GTTTGTGAAACTTGGGTGGCATGAACTAGTTGGACCGAAAAAATCTGTTTCCATGTCTGACTGTACAATTCTTTGTCAAAGAATAAAATATTACGTAAACAGAGAATAACTGTAAAATTTTGAGGAGTTGCAGGACGGTTCTTTAAATATTTCAAAGGAGTTGTTGATGGATTCTTGTTAGACAAGGGAATTAAATTTTATTTGGGGTAAATGGGAATGTGGAATTTGAAACACATCAGCCATCATCTTACTTAACGGCGGTGTAAGCTAAAGGGGCCTACTTCTATTCCTAGCTTGTATGATCAGAATAACTTCCTCACTTTTGGATCCAATACCTCTATTTATGAAGCCCAAGATCCCATATGCTCTGGACTCATTTAATATTTAGTGCCACCTTTAAAAATCTTAGCAAACCAAACCCAGATTCTGTTTTTCATAGACATTCCTGTTACAGTCGATTTCTATCACTTTTACTCTTTCCCAGTCCTCCAAATTTGAAATATTACTCTACATTGCAATATCAAAGCCACTTTATTTATACATAGATATCAAGAAAGCAGTACCCTGAGCACTGACCCCTGGGGAAGCACTACTGACTATCAACCTCCATTCAGAATAATAACTATATATCATGGCTCATTGTTTTCTATCCTGACAGCAATTTTCTATCCAAACTGACACTGACCCTCCAATTCCATGATACAAGAGGCTAAAAATGAATGAGACTTTTTTTTTCGGTGGAGAGATCTAAATGAAGGGCGCATGATGTTAAGATTATAGCTGGGCCAATTAGCACTGAAATTAAGATATACCTCTTTACATATTTAAAGCTTAGTGAATGGTTGGAGATGTTAGGCAACTTCAAAATGGAGATCAACAATTTCTTTAACACAATAAAGCACAAACACAAAACACCATACATGATGAGTTCTGTGCTAATATGTGCAATCCACCTGGCCACTACTTTCCTCATCTAAATCAGGACACAGTGAGGAAGCTTAGAATTAGGGGGTAGAGTTTTTAAAATCACATTCTTTTGGAAATTGGGAGAATCCAAGCCCATTATTATGTGATGTTCATCACATTGTGGGTTCAAGTTCACAAGACCTTTGGAGATTGCTAGCAGTAAGGGGTTCAAAGATTTTCCTCCCTCTTAGTTAAACTTATTCAACAGTGAGCGACAGAGGAAAGGTGAAGTAACAAAATGAGGGAAAATGGCACTTAACCAAGAGTGTTTCACAATGTAAAAATGATACAGGAAACGCCTGAGTTGATAATGCAAATTTAAATGAGTCATGCAAACGAGCAAGGGGCTTTTTGACTACATCGTGTTTTTCCTTGTCTTTCAATGCATGTTTTTCTCTGGAATATAGTGTCACATGTATCTTTCACGTTGGTCTCGTGCCTAAATGGTGATTCTTCACACACAACCCAAATATTGAGGTATTGGCAGTAATTTGACCAGAAAATTAAGCTGAATCCTTTTCACACCTGCCATCCCTATTCCAATTATTTCCATTTGGAAGACTGCGTGATAACAATCAGTAGTGTGAATCTACATTCTGATACCCAGGCTGCACACCGAAACAAACATTGACTGCACCTAGAGGACCATCAACTCATTGAAAGCCACTCTTTGGTCTGCCTGAAACTTGTTAGCCTTCCAGAGCAAAGAGCTGACCTTGACCAAATTTTGCAGGCCGACACATTCCAAAGTCCAGGACTACATGCTGAGGAACGCACAAAGCTTGTGGCAGCAACCGCCAAAGCACAGTGGTAAAAGACCACCCTCTAAGGTCTTTCTGATGAAATTCAATGGGGCCTGTTCAGTTATCAGACTCTGCTGGTGCCTCAAATATAAGTAAATATAGTCCTGCACAAATAAGAAACGCCTTTGGTTTGTTTTTTGGACAGAGTCAAACTCCAATGTTTGTTTCTCAATAAGCTGTTGTATGGAATTGAACTGCTTTAGTAACTATCTAAGTACATACAGACTTTTTTTTAACGAATAAAGTTTATTTTGAAATAAAAATAGTCAGTAGTGTGAACGCTCACTGGTGTTTCCCCATGGTGGACAGTAAACTGTTATAGCAGCATAACTTGCTACCTGGCTAAGCTCAGCTAACCTAGCACAGGCAGAGATTGAGGTTAAAGTCTTGCAGTGAATGCACTCTCTTAAATGTACAGGCATACACTTCAAGATTTGACTTGTAACCAAGTCCACAAGGCAAAAGATGACAAAAAACTGAAATTCTAATTTATGGAGAATAAGTACACATATTATATCAATTACATGTAAAGGTATTAATGGAAAAACAAACATTTAACAAGTAAAATATTGAGCTATTTAAATATTTTTACTGATGTAAAAGTGAACATGATACTTGTTCAGCCAAGTTCTCAAACAAATTATTTCATCAAGGATTCTGGATTGCATCAAGCAACTACCAGAGTTAGATATGTAGTGCACATACAGTATACATCACATGAAAGAACCTTTATTTATAGTTTAGGCCAAACATGAAATGTTGTGTCTCAGAATCAAATATCTTTAAACAACATGGGTAAATTTAAATTCTCCAGTGCTGCTGACGTTGAGATGAGCTTTGTGAAATTAGGGAACGTTTTAGAATTTGGTCAACATATATGTTGATGCCATATATGTTTCTATTCCTATATTTACACTACACAGCTGTATGAATTTCAGTTACACATGATGGGAAAATTTTGCGGTTTTATATATCAAGTTGACTGGACTAATGGACTTCTGAAATGGTCTCCTTGGAAGAAATCACTGTTATTTCACTGTTATTCTTGCTTACATTAGAGGCATTTCACCTGTTCACTATTTGAACAGATTCTTTACAGGAATGCGACAATAACAGTAATTTTTTTTTTAAATTGGTATGGCATTGGGTTCTTCAATTCTGCCACCGTATATAAAGTGTTAAGTCTCCACTTTACTCATTAAATAATGGCTACTGTAACAATTAGACATTTTGTCTTACCCAAGAGAGAGGCAAAGCCAAGCTTCGATATTCAATTCCATTACAAACATTTCATTAGATTGTAGATAGCTTTTTTTTCCATGTTTAACAGAGTTATTTCGATGTTCCTGACCCTAGTGATTCTACAGAAAGAATTTTTCAGCCAAACTCCTGCAAACTCAAACTGGAAATAAATGTGCAAAACCCAAGGACTGTGACAGATCAAATAGGGTGGTGTGAAAGGAGAAAGTGAAGTGTAAAAAGGTAAGATTTAGTGCAGCAGTTGCAACTATTAGTTACTCTCTACTAATTCAGTACCATTGAATTCAACAATCACTATAAAATCTGTGTTGCCTTATTGCGACTGATGACTTTTGCTTTTGCTCTCAAGTAAGGTTATTCTGCAATTACAGCCTTAATCCCACTCTAGCATTGTTTTAACTCTCTCCTAAATGTCAAAAAAGAGCAAATAGAGGACACATAATAAAATCAGTCATGCTAAACTAAGCAGATCAATTTTTCCGTCCAATAATATGGCACGTGATGAATTCATATTATCTGTCCGTTCTCTGGATACAGGGCTGGATTCTCATGGAGCCAGGCCTTTAAAAGCAATGTGTGAAAACTGGGTGAAATACCAGGGTCCATTTCCAACATATCCAATTTTTGTAGGCAGGGGAAATAAAGTGTGGCTCTCACAGGTGGGAAACCCAAACTCACAGGACTATTTGAACTGACTGAGGTTCAAAGGCACAATTATCTCAGCAAGTAGTAAGGATTCGATGGCTAATTTAATGGGACTGTTAAAGGATTAGCTATCTTTGATATGAGGTCTGATTAGAAGTGTGTCCGCTTCGTTTAGAAATTAAGCGCTTGAAGATTTAAAAGCCGAGTTGGATTTTTTTTTTAAACCATCAAGTAAGCAAGAGTGAAAGTTAGATCAGATTCTTTTACTTTTCACCCTAACTCTTGAATTCTGTCCATTATAGAAACTGGGTTAGTGATTACACAGGTGACCTGGAGGTGTGAGGGGCATAGGGTGGTTAAGGTGCATGGGTTGGCATGACGGTGAAGACATCTGTAGAATGAGGTCTAAGCAGCCTCAAAGCTTTTATAACAACTGCATTCAAGTTACAGAGAACCAACAAGGTACTTCTAATAAGCCCACCTTGGTACATGCTCACCTCTGTATCTGATTGAGAAAAAGAGACAGAGAAAGAAAGAAACAGAGAGCGAAAGCGGGACAGCGAGTGACCGAGAGTGAAAGACCAAGAGAGAGAATACCTATGTGTCCTTTAAACCCAGAAAGTAGTTGCATTGTTCAGCAAGTAAAGAAATGTTTAATTTAGTTCAAAAAGGAAGAGTTATAAATTTAAAGATGTCATGGTCATAACAAGTGATTCATGGTGATGAGTGTAAAAGGTGAACTATATCAATACTCTAACAATAGTCAATGAGCATGTCTGTAAGGAGCAATATCAGGATGATGTTAGATCACATCGCACCCGACCAAAAGAAGCACAAGTCAACCCTTGCTCTAACTCCTCAAGTTACACGCAATATACACCATTGGTTTGTGTTATCTTTGTGTCGAGTTCTCTATCCTCAGCTCTCACATTCATCAAAGGACCCTTGAAAAAAATCCAAAGTAAAAGATGTCGTGGTCGGGCGAATGCTGGAATGTTACAATGAGTTCACAGTTTTCACGAATTGGTAACATTTCCACTTGACAGTTGAAAGATTTTAAAAATCAGACATCATCTCAAAATAAACCAACATTAGTGAACTAATCATACAAAAATTAAAATTATATTGATACTTTGGTCAGTTCACATAAACAAAAGTTCAGATTCCAATTGTAGATAGCTCACTTGTCAAATTTCCATCTTTAGCATCTTTAAACGCCTTCAAAGCATTTCAACAGAGCTCTAATATGGAAACAAAATTAAATGGGAGGTTCATAATGAGAACCTTACAGCGTATTTCTTGATGAGAAAATAATGGACATCATACCTCAAATCGCTGAGAGCTGACTTTCTTTCCTTTTTTAGACCATACAATTTTGGGCCTCGGTTCTCCTGAGGCTTGGCAGATAAATGACGCAACCCCTCCGGAGACTCCCGTCTGGTCAATGGGAGTTCTTGTAAACTTTGGTGGTGCTATAAAAAGAAAGGAAAATAATAAATCACATTCCGACAAAACTCAAACATCGGTTGCTAAGCAATGTTACATTTCATTAAACAGATTAAGTATCACCAGACTATCACTAGATATTTGGGAGTCTTTCCAGCAACAATTCCGACTCCACATCCATGAAACAAATGGGGTTTATAAAGGCATGTGGGGCAGCCTTCTCTGGGTAAGCAATCTGAAGCAAGAATTTGAAAAGATGGATCAATTTTCTAAATTATGGGTTAATTGAGATGAAACAGCACTGTCTCTTCAATTACAGGGGTTTGAGAGATAATTTGGGTTAATTTGTGGATTTTCCACCCAACTCCACCCTCGGTAATAGGAAACTCTCAAGTAAGGATGTTATATCTCAATTTATATTTTACTGCTTATAGGCTGGCACATTGCACATTCACATTAATTCAAGTTGAATATAAATGCAAAACACCACAGAGCAAGAAACATTGGTTTAATTTGAGCTCTTGTTGGACGATGATGAAAAAGAAATGAGTCATGGGGGTAATTTTAAACTAACCACCCACTGGTAAACTCCCAGATTTGGATCAAGCACCCACCACATTGAAAGTACAACTGGGCGAGGTGCAAAATGTGTGGCTGACCTGATCACATCTGTTTCTAACTTAGTGGTTTGGGTTATAATGCCTCCAATGCAGTCCCTTCATCACATTACCCAACTGGAACTTATCTGGCTCCCTGATCAGTGTCAGGGAGACGCACTCTGTTTTTAATGGGTTTACAAATCTATTCGGAACCGTGAAGGAACCATATTTATTTCAAATTTGAACGAAGGGTCAGGGAATCTGGTTACATGGAATGCAAACCAAATAAGTGGCAACAACATGTTTATGTATTCAACAGATCAGCACAATGTCAGCACATGCCCCAACCAAATCTGAAAGTAAACTCTACATATGCTATGTTGCAGACACAGGAAGTATGTGGCAATGTGTAGCATCAATCTCATATTTTTCCGTTTAGAAGGATGGGAGTAGCAAGGATAACCTGCAAACTTAATACATCACTTGCCCTATTTAACTGTGATAAAGACCAGATCATAAAAGCAGGCAGAAATAATAACATTGTATTCAATGTCAGTCAGCTGTGCATTTGATGTGAAGCACACTTTTGCAGATATGGAGGAGATACCTCATTTGGTGCTAAAACCTCAACTTCAGTGATATCAGCAAGGTGCTCACAATTTTTCAATGCTGAGTCAAAAAGTATAGAATTAGCCATGTGTGCCAAAGCTATTAGAAAACTAAACTGAACAGAACAAGGACATTATAAACTGGTCACTTTAAAGTGCCCAAGTATGGTCAGCAGTATGAAAATATGTGTAACTTGCCCAGAAGTTTGAAAACAGATATTTATTTTCAGCTGGTAACTCTGTTTATGAAACTTGTTTTTCCTGGAATCTCAAAAATGCAGCTGATCAGTTAACATTTTTCTCCATATTTTTCATGATAACATAGCTCGTTTTCTCAGCTCATCCACCAGCTCCATTTAAAAAGTCCACAAATTTCTTCCAGGCCAATTTTTATCTTGGTCTGGTTTCATTACTGAAAACTTTTGAATAGAACTTGTACCTACAGTGGATGGACTCCAATGGTTCAAGGTGACTCACCATTTTCTCAACTATCATTAGGGGTGGATAATAAATACACTTGAACTGCCTAGCGAGGACTACATCACATGAAACAGCAAACAAAAATCTGCCCAACCTGGCATAACAATGTCATTTTTATCATTTTCTTCCCCTCCCACCAATCAGGTACCATTTGGCATCCGAACAGCTTCTCTTTGACAATGCAGCCTGACTAAGTAATTTACAGCACGGTAAACTTCTGTCTCAAATTGCTGTGTTGCAGGCTGTGCTTCCACTAATGCTTCAATGTACTGTAACATCAACTGCTTTCATACATTCTCTTCACTTCCTTCTTTAACTGCATTAACTTAAAATAATAGCTGCTATGTCCCTGGTTCTGTGAGCCATTCCTGAACTTCAGCAGTTTGACTGTAGCAGTGAGGAGTTAGTGTCTAGGTATTAGTATAGGATTATTAATAGATTGCTGGCAGCTATTTATAACCTCCCCTTTTTATGCAGCACTCAAAATCGAGCAAAGTGGGAAGGAAAAATCTCATTACCTCACTGCCACCCATCAATGTGTGAAATCTCTGGAACTAGTGTATTCATTCGATGTGGTAGGTTACAAAATATCACATGGCAAGACATCCCAGTGTTTTTCAAAGCCTTTTGATCGGTCACTTTCTTCGTGTTCAGTGAGAACTATAACTGAAGATGTATGGTGTGACTGGGAGTAGAACTAAACAATATCTGCTTGGTCTCTGTACTCAAGACACACACATTCCTCATGGGGACTTCAGGCTAGATTTTTCAACCAGTCATAGTCAATGGCCAGAAAATGGAGCCTGATTCACTTCAGTTAAAAGCACACTTGATAACAATCCTCTCAGGATGATTTGAAAACATTTCCCTTTGATACAGTACATTCAGTTTACAATCCCAGATTTACAACCAACTGAAAGCTGCAATTCTTACTTCCAATAGGAAGAGCCATGTGTCAATGATCACCTCAAGTATATATATATACACTTTGAAAAATGAAGAAAGCTGACTCAGCATTCTCCCTGCCTTTAAATTGCAGAGTTCTCAGTGTTGACTGCTGGTTCTAGGAGCAGTGTCATAAACTCAATTCTCTGCAAGAGCCCAGAGTGGCAGGTATCAATCGTTTTTCCCTGGACGATGTTGTTTCCCAACTGTCCTCTGAACAGATCCTTTCCACATATAAAAGAAAACCGAGCAGAACCTGTAATTTTCAAATAACTGCACATTTTATCTTCACTCATGGGACATGGGCATTGCAGCAAAAACAAACTGTGTAGGATTTAACATTGACCATTACAAAAACACTCTGAAAAGGTTTGCTGATTCTGATAATTCCCATGGTAAGTAATTGATAGCATTACAGAAGGTGACCATTCAAAACTGAAGCTCATTAACAATTCAAGTGACCTGAACATTACAGCATTCACGTCATGATACAATTGGCATTGTTTGAACAGTTTAATTAAAATACCTACAATGGACATAGGCAAGTGGGTAGGCTGCCTTTTTAATGTAACTGATGAAAAGATGGAAAGAAACAGAGTTACAACCTTCAAGGCGTATCTTTCACACGATAGGGGCATTCACCCAAAGATGTTACCCACGGCACCTTGATAACTCTACACTGCCTTGCAACCAGCAGTGCCCATACCCACCCCACACATTCTGATCCTTCCATGACCAAAACCCTGGATTCACTGGGACCAATGGCTGTCTCTTCACACTTGCAATCCAGTGGGCTCTACTTCTTTTCTTGCACTGCAGAGACCATAATCCTAGTCTTGAGATGGAGCATTGGCAGCTCTCGGGGACAGAACTCCTCTTTCTTTCCTTGAAGGGGCAGAAGTCCTGCTCCCACCAACTTAAGGCAACCTGCAGTGTGTCATTGCTGCATCCCAAAATTCATCCAGGAAGAATGGTCAGTAAACTCCTTTTTCCACCCGCCCACCTCCCCCATGAAATTCTGCTGTGTTTAAAATATTCATTTGGCCCAATGATCTGTGCTGTTTGAACTACTTCTGTTTTGAAAATTCCATCGAAAAGTAAGAAAGCCTAAAAAAAAGTACTCACTCAAACACATCCCCAATTTCTAGTTCCTTACATCAACAATTTGGGCTTTGCAGTGTTCAAATTTCACAAAAGCTCAAGTTCAGAGAATCAAATCAACAACAGCAAGTGAAGGGCAAGATGAACTCCATAGGGACACAGGCAGCTCATTGCAAAGAAGCAGGGACCACCAAATTGGTCACCTTCCCCACCAGTGTATCAGGGAATGGTGAAGAGGAAACATTGACAGGTCTATGAAGAAAGGGCAGAGGGGTGAGAGCAACTGAATACATAATTGACACATCAATCCAACAATGACAAAATCAGTCAAATTATTCTTATACTACTCTCTGCTGGAGCACTAAGTGTCTAGACTAAGTGACCGTGTTTGTGCATGTGTGTACCTGGATGTTTCTGTGCATTCACACAGTGTGAAAGAAAATTTTCTATCATCATGAAAAAATAGAATGTTTGAAATGAATAGCGAAGTGAAATGAAGGTCTTTGAAACCTGTGATGTTTGGGAATGCACTTTTGTTAGCAAATTATTCAGAATGGAAACTTCAGGCATTCCATCCTTTCTCGTTACAAGAAGGATTTTGTTCACCCAAGGAGCACAATTTAGCTTGGTTTTGAGGGTCATTATAGTCAAGCAGCTCTGACCCTGAATTACAACTGAAGGGTAGTCAGTGGTTAAGGTACCGGAGAGCTGAGGCCACTGATATAACCATATTCCCATCCAAGTTTCTGCCTTCAGAAAGGTGAGAAAGACAGATAGGAAAATTGTTGAAATGCACATTCATAATTCATGCAACACTTAACAAAGAGTATTATTCATTTTCAATGTGGTATTAGACAGAAAGTTGGAGCAATTCTTTAATATAGTTGCTGAATTTGGTTTCACAAATCACAGCAGAAATTTAATTTTGGCGGGCATCATAATTTCCTTCACATTTATGACCCCATGCTCTTTCCCCTTGACTTCCGTGTGGATTGAGAATGCCTATTGTGTAAAACAATGGTGTGTGATTTAGCAGTCCCTGTTAAAAGCTCGTCAGGTTTGAAGTTCTTGAAAAAAATATAAAGCATATTCAGGACCCAGGCACATGCTGAAAGCCAAGTTTAAACAGTTTTCTTACCTTTAAATGTCAAAATATGGATATGCTTTTAATGCAGCATCACAGCAATCTATCTTACAAAGATAAGTTGACCTTTGCATTGACCAGCCTTACATAATTATTCACATGTATTTTCCACTGGAGATAGTACCAGAACTCCATGAAAAAAATTACAA